CGTCTCAGATTTTGATGAAACTCCATAAAAATGATCCACTGTATGAAAAACAAATTAAAAAAAAAATTAGCCTCATAGGATATGTAGTTTTCGAGATATTTACTCAAAAATATGGGGCATGGTTCTTCAAGATGTGCAAACGCAATTTACTTCAAATTTGGAAGCTTATAACTTGAAATTTGAAATAGATCAGGGTCAAACTTGGTATTCTAACTTTTTTTTGCCATATTTCACAAATATGACCTTAGATTAACAGTTATCCCTTCCCTTTTGAAGTTATCTGCACTCAATGTGGCCGCTTTGTTTAACGATGCAATTTTTTTTTGTGATTTTCGAGGTCACCCTGCGTCAATATGAGTGGGTATACACCTCATATTACAGATATATTATCTATGTGTAGTTGTCTCTAGCCACATGCAAGTGCAGGCTGATCAAATCAATTAAAATTGAATGACATATAGTCAAAGTTGGGACCAGATCTATAAAAGCGAAAAACGCAATGTTTCTCAACAACGGATCATCTTGTGGAAAGTTAAAATCTTTTTTTAAATTTACCCCAGTTAATCAGATACATTAGATCTACCTATAAACCAAATTTTTGCTTTGGTACTTAGCTCATGGTTAGATACTATGTTGAAAAATACACATATTTCAACGTAATAGGAAATCACAAACATTTTTAAGAGTTGAGTCATTCCATGCCAAACAAACAAATGCATTACACCATGGGTTATAGATTTTTTTTAAAATTTTTTGCCACACCGACTCAGTGATATAGATATCTATGTGAACTGAAAACCTGAAATTTTGAGACTCGCCAATTCGTTCATTTTCCTGTAGCGGCAGTTTGAAGTTAAGGGGGCGTGGCCCAAAATAAATATGAATATAATATGAATTCTAGGAAGTTTCTATTCATGAATCGAACATGAATATATTCATGAAAGAGTATAGAAAGTTTCCAGAAAATAATTTACCATATATTGGCCACAAAAAAGGAGTCCTACACCACAAAAGGTTAAAGGGGTTGTATGATAATATTAGCATACGAAATTGCCGCTACGGGAAGACAAAAAGGCAGTTTGAGTCTCCTGCCTTCTATTCACAAGGCAGGAGGGTGCAAAAAATAAAAAATCTATGACCTGTAATATTAATGCATTTGTTGAGAGGCCACGCTCCTTTAACCTCAAACTGCCGCTACAGGAAAACAATGAATTGCAAGTCTCAAAATTTCAGGTTTTTCAGTTCACATAGATCTATATCACTGAGACAGTGTCCAAAAAAAAAATTTTAAAATCTATGACCCTGGTGTAATACATTTGTTGAGTTGGCATAGAATGACTCGATCAACTCTTAAAAACTTTCGTGATTTCCGATTACCGGTATGTTATTGTGTAGTTTTCAACATAGTATCTAACCATGAAGGAGCTGAGTACCAAAGCTGAAATTTGATTTATAGGTAGATCTAATATATCTGATTAACTGGGGTAAATTTAAGAAAAGATTTTAAATGTCCACATGACGATCCGTTCTTGAGAAACAAAGGCGTTTTTCACTTTTATAGATCTGGTCCAAACTTTGAATATGCCATTCAATTTTAATTGATTTGATCAGACTGTGCTTGCATGTGGCTAGAGACAACTACACTTAGATAATATATCGGTAATATGAGGTAATTTGCATCGTTAAATAAAGCGGCTACTTTGAGTGCAGATAACTTCAAAAGGGAAAGGATAACTGTTGATCTAAGGCCATATTTGTGAAATATGGCAAAAAATAAGTTATAATACCAAGTTTGACTCTGAGAGCTATTATCAATCTCCAGTTATAAGCTTTTAAATTTGAAGTAAATTGCGTTTGCACATCTTGAAGAACCACGCCCATTTTCAAGTCAATATCTCGGAAACTAGGCCTATATCCTATAAGGCTAATTTTTTTTTGTTGGTTTAGCATATAGTGGATCATTTTTATGGTGTTTCATGAAAATCTGAGACAATCATACAGGAATTTTTTATTTTAATCTGGTTGATTTGACATGGAATGACCCTACAATATGTCAAAGGTCAGAATGTACCGTTTCCAGTCACTATTTGAATATTTTTTTTATTAAGGCGAATATAAACATGAATCTCCTGAACACTTTGCAATCAATTGTGAGTCTCTGTGACCAGTAGTTACCGAGATATGACAATACAAGCTCAAAGGTCAAACTTCCAAAAATCGCATTTCCCGCCATTTTTTGATAAAAAGTTGTATTACAACAAATAGGAACATGCATATTGTGAACAATTTGAGACCAAAATAAAGTATCTCTGACCAGTGGTTATCGAGATACAAGCGTCCAAATGAACAGGCGGCCATTTTGAAAAACGACCCCAAACGGGACTTCCCCCCCCCCATATCTGGGAGGTATATAGGAGCTATATTTTATCTAAATTGGTCCATCTTGCCAGATCAATCGAGAGAAAAAAAGGTATCCTAAAATTAGTCACGGATCTCATGAAAATGACTCTACTTTAGTAGAAAAAAGACAACAACGTTACAATACACTATTGTTTAAGCTTAACCCTATGCTTAGCGAATGGGAGACGATCCCTAACACGTTTATCTGACAGTGCCTGACTGTTCGGCAACTTTGCACGCCGGGCATAACGTGCAGTCCTAGGCCTAAAAAATTATATCATCGTATGCATTTATCAGTGCATTGAATCTAATATTACTGGTTTATACAATTACTCTAACATTACACAAACTAACCGTTTAATATGATCTTGTAGATGTGGTGGAAAGAAGTATGATTTGCAATGAAATGTGGCAAAGACAAGCCAAACCAGTCACTCGTCGCAAAAATTTTGAGTTATTAATACAGTGTTAGAGAGTAAAATAATAGCTATAAAATGGTAAAAAAATCATTCAAATTGGACATTTCCTTATGAAGTTACAAGCGTTTAAAATACAGCTGTTTAAAGAACAATATATGAGAAATCAGCCTTCAAAGTTTATGATTTCAGGCATTTCTCATGCAGAAACAATCATTAAATCCTTAAAAAGTGTTGTTTTAACTTTAAAAATGGGGAAAATAACAGATTAGAATGATGTACAGATATGTAAAGGTTATTTTAGTGCAATAAAATAGATTTTTTAAAATTTGACATTCCAGCATGTTTTGGCCATTTTCTCTGAAACATGATTTGCGACGAGTGACTGGTTTGGCTTGTCTTGGCCACAAATACAGTTCAGTAATACGACAGCACGAGGCTTATGCTTGTCGTTACCATGGCTAACTGCCGCAACCTGACTACCGCCACCTAGCGGTTCATTCCATTATCCAACAATTAATTAAAACAATACGTTTGGCCGTAACATACCAGCCCTCGAATAGTGAATCTGGCAAAATGAACTATTACTATCTTTTCATATTAAAACTGTAGGCCAAACTTTAAATTTTATAACACAACAATTTAAAAAAATAACTACCACCGAAGCGAGCTATTTAAATGCTACTCTCTATCAGCACAGAATTTCTTAGGATATTAATCTTTAAATACTATAACTTTACACATTTATACTTCAAAGCTCGATAAACTTCAGTATCTACAGTACTAACTTTAGTTAATACCTTTCACAATCTAAAACACATATATATTAATGTCATAAAAACGAAAAGTATTTATCATTTGCATAAATACTAATAAGCAACAACTCAACTATCTCAGTAACCTATAGGTTAATTCACAATAGAATTGTTGTTGCTGTTCTGAACAAGTAGACACAACTTGGCTACTGGTCGGTTTAAGATAGAAGATTTCGTCTTCAATTCCACACTTATTACTAGACCTCCTTTGTCTTTGTGAACTGCAGTGATTCCGCCGAGTGCCCATGAGTTCCTTGGTGTAGAATCCATGATTAGTACAATGTCTCCCACAGCTAGGTTCCGTCTTGACTTTCCACTTCTGCCTCTTTTGAAGATGCAGAAGATATTTTCGTACCCACCTCTTCCAAAAAATATTAGCGAAGTATTGAACCTGTCGCCATCGTTTTGTGTGGTAATTATCACCTTTGTCGAAAAGACCAGGATGGAGGCTTTCTCCTGACCTCAAAAGCAGCAAATGGTTGTATGTCAATACCTCTAGATCATTTGGTGTATTTGGGCATTTTGTTAATGGTCGTCCATTCATAATTGTCTCTACCTCACAAAATAAGGTTTGAAGCGACTCATCATTTAGTTGAATATGTTGTTCCCTTAGTAATGAGTAGAAAATCTTCCGGACACTCCGAATCAGTCGCTCCCATGATCCTCCAAAATGAGAGGCTGCTGGTGGGTTAAACTCTGCCATGAAATACCTTTCTGTAGCAACTTCTCGTGAAGTTTCTGCTGATTCCAACCTTAAATGTGTTCTCTCATTTCTCGCTCTGCTCCAACTAGGTTGGTGCCGTTGTCAGATCGGATGAATTTTACAGTTCCTCGTCTGGCAATAAACCTACGAATCGCATTAATGCAGGAATCTGTTTCGAGGAAGTGAGCTAGCTCCAAATGAACTGCTCTACTGGTCATGCAGCAGGTAAATATAACGCCGTACCTTTTAATAATGCTTCTAGCTCGTTTCACTTCGAAAGGGCCAAAATAATCCATTCCAACATTACTGAATGGAGGCTCTTCTGCGCACAGTCTTTCAGATGGCAGATTAGCCATCTTCTGTTCCTCCATTGGTGCCTGATATCTCCTATAGGTGACACACCTCGAGGTAATACTCTTGATGTGTGCAGGTGCTCCAATAATCCAATAGCTAGGACAGATCTTTGCCAGGATTGCATTCTTTCCCGATGCCCTACTGATTGATGGACATCTTTAAGAATTAGACGTGAAATGGGTACGACTTCGGTAGTAATATTTGATGTTTTGACTCAAAATTGAGATTTGCTCTTTGAAGCCGACCACCAACACGAAGCACCTCATCTACTAGAATAGGGTCAAGCTTCCTCAAAGTTGACGATTTCTTTATTTAGTGTGAGCCATTTGCTTGACCTCTACAGGCCTCTTGCCAGTGTTGTCTTTGAACATACTGAACTAAAGCCCTTTCTGCTCTCCAAAGATCATCAGCAGTTAGCTGCTTTAACTTATATCCTTTTCTGACCTTAGCCAAACGTTCTTGTTCTACTTCAAACATATGAAAACGTACTACTGGATCTGACTCTTGACTTTCTAACTTTGTTATCAACGTTTTACGTGCTTCCACACGTGATTTTAAATTCTTGATTCTATTTAACAACCACGCAATGGCTTTCTTGAGCCTATGCCAGTCACAATAATACTCTAGTGCTTTGTCAATCAAGCTTTCATATCTCTCAACTGTAGACATGACATCAACACTGCACTTTACGTCAGGGTCATCTTCTGCCAAGGTGCCTGGGTTATCCACTTGCTGAAGCCACTCTGACTCTGGTCTGGATAATAAGAAAGAAGGTCCTTTGAACCAAAGTTTGCATTGAAGGAACTTCTTCACAGGTAAACCACGTGAAGCACAATCTGCTGGGTTTTCTTTAGTGTTCACATATTTCCACTGCTTCAAACTTGAACCATCTCTGATAACAGCTATGCGGTTTGCCACAAAGGTCTGGAATCTTGAAGTATCATTTTTTAAATACTTTAGTACCGTCATGCTGTCTGTCCAATAGCAGATGTCATCTAGCTTGTAATCCAGCTCATTCACTATCATTTTACCAAGTTTTTTCGCAGCAGTCAATTCCATTCTCGGAATTGTCATTTTCTTTAATGGGGCCACTCTAGCTTTACCTATTACCAGTGAGTAATATGTTCTTCTTTAATATCAAAACGTATATATGCGGCAACACCGTATCCCAAATCACTCGCATCAGCAAAAATATGAAGCTGGCAGTTGTCAACATCGCCGAAACCAGGTGGCTTATAACATCTATCGATTTTAATATTATCAAGTTCCACTACTTCATCTAGCCACTGATTCCAACGTCTCTGTTCTTCTCCCTGAATTTCCTCATCCCAGCCGACATTACGTCGACAGAGGCTTTGCAGAAGCACATTTGCTCTTAACAAAAATGGTGCAGCTATGCCAATGGGGTCATAAACAGAACTAGAAATGGATAATATTTCACGCCTTGTTGCAGGACGTATCTGTACGTTGGTCTTAAACCTCAAGTTCTTCTTTCACCAACCAGTACACACCCAAGGCTCTTTCACTTGGAATTTCCTGTCATTCTAACTGCAACTCTTGGATGTCCTTTGCCGTTTCTGATACTGGTATTGACTGCAACACCCCATAGTTATTGGATACCCACTTTGTAAGTCGGAATCCACCCTCTTTGCACAATGATGTGGTACTCTCCATGACCAGCGGAAGCAGGGGGGGGGGACCGGGGGCCCGCCCCCCCCCCCACTTTTTGGCGAAAAAATATATGTCTGGAGATTTTTGTATGATCGGAAATGCAAAAAAATAAGAAGGGAAGAAGGAGGAAAAGGATGGGAAAGAGAATGTTTATCCAGTACCCAACCTAGTTACATTTTCTCGCAATTCACATTGGCGGATCTGGGGAAGGGGGGCATGGGTCCTGACCCCTCCCTTGGGCAGCAAAAAAGAGGAAAAAGAAAAGAATTCTAAACCTATCTTTTCAGGACCCGTGAGCTGACTTTTTTTTTTCTTCTTTTTTTAATTTTTGTTGCTATTGGAGAATTAGAATTTTTTGAAGAACATAAAATTCATTAAAACACACTTCAAATGTCGGGAAAGCTCAATTCCCGCCATCTAGGAATCAAAATTTTCCCGGGAGAGAACCCCCGGACCACCCTTTCTTTTTGGGATTTATCGATTCATGGAAAAAAAATACGCATGCAACTACTCATTTGTTGATGTATGTATACACACATAAAATGAAAAATGAGAAAAATTTACCTGACCTTTTTCAAGAGGGGAAAACCTTGAATTTTGTAGAAATTTAAAAGGCATTTCAGAAGTCGAAAAGCTCATCTCCCGCCATCTAGAAATCAAAATTTTTCCGGGGGAACCCGGACCCCCTTTATCTTTGGAGTTCATTGATTAATTGAATCATTTTCAAGGGGGGGGGGGGGGAACCTTGAATTTTGAAGAATTTAAAAGTCGTTAAAAAAAAACC